TCATCGTAAGTGTGTCTGAGCCACCTAACATCATCGTAAGTGTTTACTGAGCCACCTAACATCATCGTAAGTGTTTACTGAGCCACCTAACATCATCGTAAGTGTTTACTGAGCCACCTAACATCATCGTAAGTGTTTACTGAGCCACCTAACATCATCGTAAGTGTTTACTGAGCCACCTAACATCATCGTAAGTGTGTCTGAGGCTGGCTGTTCTTACATGTCAGCACATGCCTGGGCAAGTACTGGTCCTGTCTGTGGAGTGCAGCGGGGTTAGTTGATCTTGGTCGGCAGAGAGTTCACACTGAAAACGCGAGTCCATGGCCCCCCCTGTCACCCTTACTGGATAAACACAACCAGCGCAGCCAGACAGACACGACGCGCTTGTGGGTATGATTGTTATTGCTGCTGTTATTGTTTATTTAACTGAGACTGCTGCTAATCTGCGCTGTGTGGTTTGATGGCATGTCCTCCCTGCTTTTCATATGTGCTTCCTCACAGCAGCAGGCCTGTATACCTACATTTTTGCTGAGGCTCTTTGAACCAGGTGTTCTTAATCTCTGCCAAGGTGATCCCTGTGTGTGTGTGTGTGTGTGTGTGTGTGTGTGTGTGTGTGTGTGTGTATGTGTGTGTGCAGTGATCCTTATGCAGGAATGTATTTTATGTTTGGAGTGGTCTTTATGTAGGTGTTTGCGTTTTTGTATGTATTACATTGTGGCGACCTGTAACTTTTAACCTTGTGGGGACATTTTTCCAGTCCCCACAAGGATAACCACAATTTTATAAAAATTAGTGAATGCAACTATGTTTTGTTTATGGTTAAGGTTTAGGGCTGGGTAGGGGTTAAGGATGTCATAGTTGGGATTAAGGTTATGCCCACAGAAATGAGTGGAGAGTCCCCACAAAGATATGAATATGTGAACTGCGTGTGTGTGTCTGTGTGTATGAGAGAGAGAGAGAGAGAGAGAGCATGCCACCCTCTGGGTTTCATCGCCCCTCAATATTGTGGTGATGCACAAACCTCTGAACCCTACGCCTTATGTATAAAACAATCAAAGGAATATTAGTAATAAGAACAAGATTTACCTGCTTCATGGAACCTTCCGGAAAAAAAAATCTACTTAACCTCTCTTCTGATATCTGTGACTGGCAATAAACGTGGGCAGGAGATACTGGATGCATATCGGTGCTGAGCATCTGAGTGCTGCTCATTACGTCATCTACACTTCCAAAAGTGGCGTTGGATCCCACCTCAGAAAGCCTGTACCCCCCTCCTGTTCAGCACTTGCTAAATGCTTTTATGTCGTCCAGTGCTGTGGGCTAATCCTACCACATTACATTAAGGGGAACTCAAAGGCTCGTAATCTTCGAGAGGTAAAGGCAAACGGGGCAAGACATGCACTTCATTGTATGTGACCTTCAATGTAAATGTTAGCAAAGTTGTTTTTAATCATCATCGTTATAACATCAATTACCCATTAACACGTGTATTTGACTGGTTGTATATTAATTGCTAAAAGGCTGTTGCATGCTCGCATGGACGAGTGAACCATATACTTTATAAAGTAGTGATAGAATGTCTGAACCCTGCCCTCCCCTTTGCTAGCTGAGTGATCGTCTTTTAGATATAATGCAGGAAAATGACTGAATACGAATATATTTGTTATATCAGTTGTATCATATTTGTATTATTTCAGTTGCTTGGTGGTTGATGATTGAAGGTCTAAAGTTCGAACTTCTGTCTAAAATTCTAGCTCAATGTCAGGATGTGTGGCTAAGCCTCTGTGCCTCTGTGCCTGTGTTCGGAAGGTCACTGGGTCAACCCAAGGCAGTTGGGCCTTTTGAGCAAGGCCCTTAACTGTCCTAATATCCTACTGGGGATGACCTGACCCTGTGCTCAGACCCACAGCTTCACCTTCAACTGTGTGTATCTCAAGGGAAAGATAGGATACATGAATGAATGAATTCCAATGTACTTGCGCAAATAAAGCATCATTTTGAAATTCATTGCTGGATTTTAAGATTATGCATATACTTCATTGCACTTAACCATGACTGATCACCATTATTCAAAAGAATTTTGGGGGAAAAAAATGGACAGAGAGCAGTGGAATTCCTTAGTCCCTGCGTTGGGCTAGAATGGACATGCCTGCATCCATGCGCCAGAGACACGAAAGAAGATTGAACCTCTCTGATCGTTTCCATTCTGATTCCCACTCACTGTAGACGGACTCATCTCTTCGCAAAATAGAGTGATTCGGAACCCGATATATCTGAAGTTCATCTCCGCTTTATTTTCAGAGAGAAAGGCTCTGTCTCTCTCTGCGTGTTGTTTGGAGTGCCGAGTACAGACATGCCGTAGGACTGGCTGGTTGACTCTCGTAAGTGAAACTGGAGCGTGAGGGCTGATCAAAGCCATTCTGCTTCTTTGAGGGAATGAGCTTCTCTCTTCTCCTCATCTGAATGTGAGGCTATTTTGGTTGTGGGCTCAGGATCTGATACAGTCTACTGAGGTTTGCTCAGTACTGGTGTGGGCTCAGGATCGGATACAGTCTACTGAGGTTTGCTCAGTACTGGTGTGGGCTCAGGACTCCAAACTACGTGCCGCAGAGCCAGGGAGTGAGTAGCTGCCACCTCAATCTGCTACATCAAGCTTCCTGTTTCACTTTAACTTCTGCATTTATTGGGAAACATGAACCTGTTTTCTCTGTGAAAAACTGAATGACCTCAAAGAGAGGGGATGTGAGGGTCATGGCAGCAAATGAGGCAGCTTTTCTGCAGGGTTCAGGTTGAGTTCTGACAAAGTGGTTCACCATATACACTAGTGACCAAAATTGTTTACACATTGCAAAACATTATTCCAGTTACTCCAGTTACTTATTTCATCGTCCAGTGTATGATGTTTCTAAACATTCTTTCTAAACATTACCACTAATATTCAGGTAGTATTTTTTAAAGTGTAATGCCAAAAATGCTAGGGGTTTCCACAATTTTGGCCACTAGTGTAATATCCATTGTTTTGCTCAGATTACCGTGTATGTTTTTGATTGTGATTAATTATGACTCAGAGTTATCCGGTGTTTGTTTATATAGAATTTGCCGTCCCCTTCAGCTCATGAAAGTTCGGCTGAGAAAGCTGTACTCTGTTTGGCTTGTTATGGAGTGTGTGGCAGACCTTATTCAGAAGAGGGTGCCCCTATTGGTGATACCTAGTGAGAAGGTTACTGACCCCTGAGGAACACTGCTGAAGGAGTACTGCGAGGTGTCACCTACTGGAGAGATGTTCGCTGTTTCGGAAACACAGCCCTTAAGGCGTCTAAGGCATTCCTTCATCTGGGGTTTCTTGGTGCTCTGGTTTGAATGGACCTGCGGCATTTCCCAGGTGAACTTCCTCTTAAGCTCATAGCCGGGTGCTTTGTTATCAGATTCTCCCCAAAACCGATACCCAAAGTGGTTCACCGGGAATGCAGTGTGACATCGCTGTTCGAGCACAGACAGGCTCACTTGGCAGGTTGACCTGACTCTTTTTTTTCAGCAGAGTGATGGGGTGCAGAGCATGCTCATACCTGTCAACAGCCTGGCTGTGGACAAGGTTCGGAGCTGGTCTGGGATTAATGACTCCTTGTTTTTGTGGTGAAGTGAATGGCCCTGGTCTAAATGAAGATGCCTGGGCGATGCAATGTTGTTCCGCCGTTGGCCTGCCTTGCTGTCTGTACCCTCTTGTCCCTTTGGAAGGCAATTGATCGTTGAGGCTGGTGTATATTTAAGGCCTAGGTACTGCCGGTGCTTTCGTGATGGTATGAGACCAGGCGTGTCCGATCCAATCCTTTGGAGACGGAGGAGGGCCGGAATGTGAATGCTAGGCCCTTCCTGTTTGATTTGAGGAAGCGCATACAAAGAGCACGCCAGCCTTGACAGAGGTTTGATTCAGCTGCTGACTGGAACACTCTGGATTCATCTTGTGTTCTTTGGTAGTTTCCAGTCCCATTCCCTGCTAAATCTGCAGCCCGAGGCTTTGGCTGAATACAGAGTCTCGATTTGCGTTCCTGTGGCAGACTGTTGAAGCCCAGTAACTGTTCGATTCGGACGATGGGGCCCCCAGACCACTGTGGAGTGGTCGGTCTTTGTCCTCGCCTTACAGCCACGGCCGAACGGTAAACAGTGTGGGCGATGTGCTCGGCTGCTGTCTACTCTGGCTGTGTGAATTGGCGGGCAGAAAGACCGAGGACAGGGTTTGGTTTCCTCTGACTCAGAATTTGGGAATGAGAGGTAGGGGACGCTGCGAACAAACATCCTTCCATTTGTTTCCCAGATTGCGGTTCTTATCTGTGGCCCCTGGGTCTGCGTGCGTCTGGGTGTGTACGCATTTGAAAGTGTGCGTGCGTTGCACACGTGCTATCGTGCACAGCTTCATGGCATGTGTTCTTTGTTCCTGCGCATATGCCCCTCCCTGGGCGAGAGCAGGTCTCACCGACTCTGACGGGGAGGGTGTCGCCGCACAAAGCTGCAGATGCGGGGGGCGGGGGGGCTCTCCCACGTAATGCGGGAGGGCTGGCAAGAATGGTAGCAGCTGGTGAAAAAACCTGCTTGAAGTGAGGAAAAACTGAGCTGGTTATCTTTTGCCTGCCCCCACCTGCAGGGGGTGGTAGTCAGTCAGTCAGATGGGGGGAGGTGTTGGGGTATTTTGGGATGAGCTCTGGAGGCTGACTTCTGGGCTGGACGTGCGATGTGCTAACTCTTGCACAAGCCAGTGGAAAACAAGGGGGGGTAAGTTCTCACCTCTCCCCATGGAGAAAAACAAACCCTTATGCATGTATGGGGGGGGGGAAGATAAGAGGAAAAAAGCCCAGTGTATTGACTCCCTAGGGGGATTAATTCTGTGTGTGTGAGAGAGAAAGCTCGTCCCCCACCCTCGCCTATTTCACCCCTCCTCCTCGTTTCTCTCCACTCTCTCGCTCTCTACCCCCCTCACTCTCACTCTCCCTATCGCTCGTCCTCTCCATGTGAGCGTAGTCCGGGCACGCTGCCAAGCGGAGTGTGTGTGTTTTTTGAATGAATACCTGATGAAGCTGACGGAGAGAGCAGTGGGCGGAGCTCTGGTGGTGGAGTACTGTGGGGAGCTTGGGTAGCCAGCGGCCTCGCATAGCACCGTGCCGGAGCGCCGCGCGCCGCGCCGGGCCAGGACCGGGCTCTTTCACAGCGCGCCGTGTCTCGTCCGCCGGGCCCATTCCCGATGGCCCCTCGGCTGCCCAACTCACAGCCCGGCTTTTTCCCTTTTCCCGTTTTTCTCGGGACCGAACAAAAACAATAGCAGGAAAAAATATCCAGACGAAGAGAGCCCAGAAAGACGAGGGTGTTTTTCTGGACTGGGGCCGAGGACGACATGACTCGTAAAATGCGAGGGTTTGGGGATGCGGGTGAGTGGGTTTCCAGCGCCCGTGGTGTCGCCTTTTTCTCCGCGGGTGTACAGTGGTGAGCCGCGCACCTTCCGTAATGTGCACACGCACCTCTGTGCTATGTGCCTTGGGGAACATGGCATCCATCGAGTATGATCTCAGCTGCAACCTGGACTTTTGAAGAAAATGAAAATGCAAGTCATGCAGCTTTGCAGATATTGGTTGTTGAAAGGGAACTCTGTGCTCTGCCCTGCTCTCTCCCTCTCCCTCCCTCCCTCCCTCTCTCTCCCTCTTTCTCTTGCTCTCTCTCACTCACTTTCTTTGGCTCTATGTCGCGAGTGATTTTAGGGAACGACGATGCACGAATCATTGTGAAGGCAGCGACGGTGCTGTCTGTGATCGCTGTCTAGTCTGGACCCGCTGCCTGCCTCTTAAAGGGCCAGCCATCTGCGAGTGGAGCTGAGGGCTGGGGGGGGTTACAGTGTAGCGGGCTTCTGCTTTGGCATGATGAGGACCGGTCACACACTAACACCCCTCCCCCCTGGGGGCTAAAATTAGTAGCCAGCTAGTGTGTCACCTAGGGGAATTAGGTCTTCGATGGGGGGTGAGGCTTGGTACCAGGGATCCAGTGTTTTTCTGAAACGTGTCTGCCGGAGCTCCCTGGATGCCATGCCTCCTGTGATCTTCTCATTGTCATTTTCAAGGCGCATGAGCATGCATGTGCTCGCTCTTTGAGTTGCACAGTTCTGTATGGAGTGTTTTGCCCACCTCTGTTTTTCATCATGCATTAGCATATGTTATTTCTGCAAATGTTTTACGTTCGTAGTTTTGCTCTGGTGATGATGACAGGGGACAGCAGATTCAGGTGGCAGGTGGCCAGGGGGAGACAGAGGCTCCTGCAGATACCCTGGTGGGGACTGGGGATTACCCACAAGTCCCAACTCATCTATCAGCACTGTGATATGGGAGTGAGCTGCCCTGACACACTGACTGACTAATGTGGAGTACAGTGGATGCTGCAGTTTATTACATGGGCAGGGGGGCGGCCCCCCTCAGTGCAAGTGAGAACAGTGTGATTAATGCGCCAGCATATAAAAGAAAGTCGTATTTGTTTTTGTAGGTTTGAATTTTTTACCATAGTGCTGGTCTTTGAAGTGCACTGTGTAATGCAAACAAGTATTTAAAACCCTGACGACTGCTGCACACACCCTTAGACAGGTGGGATTTTTCCACCTCTTGACCTGATCTTTACTCCAGCTGGAGCCACGACAACAGACAGCAACAAATTAAAACAAATTAAACATATTAAACTTGACAAACACTTTTGCCCTGGATGCTCTGGGGCTAGTGTAGAGATGAATGAACGGTCCCTACAAATATATGAATTCAGGTGTGTGTGTGTGTGTAAGCAGAGCGGTGTGCTGGCTGCGAGAATCTGCTGGACTGACACCAGATCCCCAGATTAGGGATGAAGTATGACGTGTCTGTTCATCTGGAGGGCCGATCTCCCCGCCCAGGTGAAAGGCTGGAATAATCTCTGTCCTGATCTCAGGGCAGGCGGCTGCTCGTTTGGGATTCTGCAGGCCGGGTAAAGAACAAGGGGGGGTGCCTGAGGGTAGGCCCTCTCTGATGGCTTCCTGGTTCCCAATTGGTCCCTAAGAGTGCTGTTGAGGGGGGGTTGGAGGTGAAGCAGTGAATCCTCGGGAATGTGCCCTTGGGACCCGAAGCTACCATCACACTGGGGCCTCACCTGTCATGAGGGGCTGCTCTGTAGGTGGGGTGAGGCCGGCCTTCCTCCCCTCTCTACCTCCACGCCTATGCTTTCTCCCCTGGTCGCCTCTGCTTAAGCCACCAGCTCCCTCAGCCGCAGCTCTTGCATGTTTGACTCTGTCCGGGAGCCCGCTGGGTGTCTCCCAGAGTGTTCGGCAGGAGCGATGTTGCTGCTTCAGCACGGGGGCAATCCCCCGCGCTCCTGACATGTGTGTCCTCCAGCTACAGGCCTGAAATTCAACACTAGGGCAGGATAAAGCTTCTCACCCACAAGCCAACATTTTTCCTAGTTGCGAACCAGTACCAACTACAGTTTATTTTTATCCCCCTCTACTCTCAAAGCAAATTTACAAAATATGTAGCTCTTTCATAGTGCTGCCACTGGTCCTTTATGAGCCTCATCTTTCCATGTGACGTTGAGCAGCACAGGTACTATTACTTAGTGTTTTAAATTGTGTCCATGGCAACATCCCATCACTGGTATGACATCACAGGTACTGTGCCAAGTTCTATTAAAAAGCAGTTTTTTCCAGTAAACTTCACACACATTATTGAAGCGAATGATGATACTTTTTGTTTTTGGGGACTAATAACTGGTAACGATTTTCAGCTGTGCTACTTGCTGGCTGTAGGGTTGTGGTGAGGCTGGAGTCAGTCCCAGGAAGCACTGGGCACACCCTGGATGGGATGCCAGTCACACTCTTTAGAGATTGCTGACCATATGTTTATAGACTGGGAAGAAACCCATACAAGAAGGGGGGCGGCAGTCAAACCCTCAGCCCTGGAGGTGTGAAGCCATGGTGCTTCTGATGTTTATGGCGACACTAATTTTATGTTGCGCTGCGAAAAAGATGAAACGGTTCGGCTGACCAAACACTACATTTGCTAACCCCCACAAAAGTGCAAGCGCATGTTTTTGCAGCACCAAGCAGTGACTGTAACTGCGAGGATGTAGCCTTCTGCTACGTGGAGTGCCCAGCTGGCTCTGCATGCAGGATACCAAGCGAGCTCCCAAGCGCTATGGCCTCCCCGTCGATGTTTTCGCCCTTTCATGGCCCTGCTTCTACAGCCTTGATTTCCATTAACAATTAAAATGACCTCTAGTGCTCACTGAGAATGAAGAGCCTGTCTGAACCTGACCTGGGTGGGCTGCCGTTCCATTATGGAGCCATGTCCATGATGGAGCTATGTGTGGCGCAGTGGGTTAAGCCTCTGTATCTGTGATCAGAAGGTTGCTGGTTCAAGTCTGGCCTTAGCACATCTGAGGGTCCTTGAGCAAGGCCCTTAACCCCCAGCTCCCTGGGTGCTGCGATGGATGGCCGCCATTTACCGCCAGGGTGCTCTCACCTACAGAGGGCAAGTTGGGGGAACACAAAGAGAATTCCCCCATGGGGATCAATAAAGTATCTATTATTATTTTTGTTTTGCAGTGGGGATGTTCAGGAGGTCTTTGTTATGTCATCATGGTCTCTGCTGTCTGGACAGCAGCCATCGATTGAAAGGGTTTGCATGTTTTTCACTTAATTCCTTCAGCAAACGAAGGGCCCGCGTCCATTGGGTGGGACTGCCCACCATCTCTGGGGCAGTTAGGTGCAAACATGCTGTCAGAACCAGTAGGAAAGGATGTGTTGTTCTGTGCTCTGTAGAGTGGGGTTCTAGCAATAGTTTTCCATATCGGAGTACCGGAATGCCTCTCTGCGGTCCTGGCTCGTTTTCTCGCCCCCGTCCTTATGTCGCCCGCCGTGGGTTGCTGCTTTTTATTGACTGGTTCTGCTGAGTTTTGGGCCGGGTCTCGTAAGTGTATCACAAGCGGCATCATCGTGGAGGGCCGTGCGTCTGGATGGCACAGTCAGTACAGTGCTTTGAGCGAGAACGCCCCGTGTAAAACCAGGGCACCTGCCCGTTCATGCTTGCACGGTTTGCTGTTACTTCTCGGGAGGTTACTATGGAAACACCAACTTTTCCAATGAGGGTAACCCCCACACAGTACATGAAGAGGGAGGGGTGGTAACAGATTCTCTTGGCGCTTTACTCTCGTGCATGCACTTCTTTTTTGTTTTTATTGTGACTAAAAAGACCAAGATCCATAAGAATCCCACACACACACACACAAAAAAAAAATCTAATGATGCATCAAGGCTTGATATAGCGTGTCTGAAAGTGTTAGCATTTCAGGTCTTTCCCTATGGAAGAGATTTCCAGGCGGATATAAAATGCTGAGTCATTTCAATGCCAGTGATACCTAAACAATCTGTCATAGTAAAAAGTTACGCTATTTTTATATTGAAGACATGATACTGGATTATTTTGTGAATAGTTTCTAAGTTCAAGTGTTAGTTCAGTGAAAAAAAATAGATATGTCTTCCAGGCTGCTAAGAAATGCATGGTGTTGTGTCTTTGTGTGGAGGGTTGGCTTGCAAAGCTTGTTTTTAAGCAAATCACTGTCAGTATGTTTTGGAGAAGTGTCTGCGGCCAAAGCTGCAGCTTGATCCCTCTGGTTGTGGCCGTCGAAGGTACCGCATGTGTGCAGTGTTTCCTATTTCTGAGACGGAGGTCATGCAGCATATTGTACAGAGCTCTAATCCATCAACGTTGACAGCTGCACCCTGCTCATGACAGAACACAGAGATTCACAGTGCACTTTTGGCAAACTCAGAGTCACTCTCAAGTCTGGCCAGCAGAGGGCGTAAATTTGTTTCTGTTAAGTACCTGCATTTCTAATATACCGTATAAGGAGGAGAACACACGAAAAATGTACATGAAAGAAATGTATATTTAAAATGAGAATTTTTAAACCATGTGAATGACTTTTTAAAGTTACAGTGTTTTGATTGCATGCTCATGGGCAGCAGGGTGCAGGGCTACAGATGGGCAATTAACTAACGAACCAAGGAGTCCTGCCTCTGGCTCAGCAGAAGGTGCCGTCACTCTGCATCTGCAGGAAGCGCTAATGTGTGCTTCTGTGCTCCTGCTAGCTTAGCCTGAGAGTTAGCGGTGTGGGTGTAAACAGGTTCCTGCCTGTGCAAGCTTGTACAGTGAAGGTCACGTCCTGTATTGGTGGAACCTGATTGTATATCCTTCGCCCCACAGATCACTACAGCTGCCATGGTGCCCCACGCTCGGAGGGAGATGATTCCTCATGAAGTCCCAAGATCGCTCCATGACTGCAGGCGCCGTGTCCCAAGCTTCGGCCTGAGGTCCACTCCTACCAGACGCTGAGGACTGACAGCTCAGCTGGCAAGCAAGTGGGTGGACAGCTCTTAGAAGCTCAAAGACAGAGAGAGATAGAGGAGGAAGGGGGGGAGAGGAGGAGAGAAAGGAATCAGGTCAGGAGCACAAGACGGGGGGGAGGGGGGGGGGAGGGGCGACCAGAGACTAAACATGAAGTCGAACCAAGAGCGGAGCAATGAGTGTCTACCTCCGAAGAAGCGGGAGATCCTCGCCAGTAACCTGGCGCTGGAGGAGAAGCCGGTGGGGGTAACGGCTGGCAGCGAGGCTCTGCGAGGGGATAACTTGGCATGGCTCGCCAGCATGGCCAGTAGGCAGAGCGCCATCAGGCACGGCCCCACCCACGCTGAGGATGACACCGCCCCCCCACAAAACCCCCTCCCTGCCATCGCTGAGCACTCTCCTCCATCTTCCTCCACTTCTCTGACCTCAGGGGCGGCACTCACGTCCCTCTCTGCTGTGTACTCCTCACCCCTCTCGCAACATGGGGGGGCGATCCAGTACGCCCAGCTGCCCCCCAGTGTGCAGTTCATTGGCCCGGCCTTCACGGGGCCCTATGCTGGGTACATCTCCTCGCAGGTCATCTCCTCCTCTACAGTTACATCAGCTCCAGCTGTTACCACGCAGCGCCCCCAGCTGGAGGGTTACGGCATCTCGCCGGCTGCCACCATCTCGCAGGCTTCTAGAGCAGACCAGCACCCGCAGCTGAGCGGCTCGCCGGGTCTGCTCGCAGGCATCCCGTCGCTCCCCCACCCCATGCACCCGGCCAGCCAGTACGTGCAGATTGCCAGCACCCCCCTGAGCGTCGCGACCAGGGCTCTCCCCGCGTCCGCTGCGCACGTGCCCCTGCACCTCCACCACAACCCTGCCATCGTTCCCCAGACCCTCACCCTCGCCCCTTCGCAAGTAGTGGTCCAGTACACCGATGGGCCTGGTGCCAAGAAGGAGGACGGAAACGGACGAGAGCTGCTGAACGGTGAGGTGGAAAAGAGCCGGCACTACGGCTCTGTGCCGGACACTGGCCGACCCAAGCAGGTAGGCGGGGTCAAGGGAGGCTCCAGCCAGCACCACTACGATGCCCGGCAGGTCGTGCTCCACGCCGACTATGCGAAAGACACGCCGGCACTGCGGACCTCACTGACACTGGTGCCCAACAGCCACGGGCGCGGCGGTGACATAGAGGGCGGCCTGGAGAAATTGACCACCCACACGGAGAGATGTGGCCCGGGGAAGCCCATCTCCCGCACCTCCCCTTTCAGCTTCTCCTCGCTGGAGGGCCCAAAGGTTCCGCCAGTCACCCAGCCACCTCCCACCGTCATCCAGGCGGTGCAGACCACAGAGACACTGCCCGTGGGTCTCCCGACGGCCGGCTTCTACCCCGCAGGCCAGCCACCCATCATCGGCTACATCGCAGGGGCCGGCCAGGCGCAGCAGCAGCCAGTCAGCTACCATGCTGGGCTTCCCCAGCACCTGCTCATTCCCGCCAGTCAGCCACTGCTCATCCCGGTCAGCGGCGGCACAGCCTCCGAGCTGGAGCCACCCCCGCCAGCCGCCTCCACCGCTGCCCAGCCGTTCTCCACGGCACTGCCTCAAGCCTACATGGCTGCGACCCTCCCCAAGTGCGAGGTGTTCCGCCCTGGAGAGCACCAGTCCCTGGCCCCCTACCACGCAGCTGCCGTGGTGCAGACCGAGCTCCACCTGCCCATGGTTTCAACCACACCTGCTGCCGGTGTCCTGGCCTCGCCCCCGCCCGCCTCACCACCACCGCCCGCTTCCTGCCCCTCGTTGCCCCCCTACTTCATGAAGGGCTCCATTATTCAGCTGGCAGACGGCGAGCTGAAGCGGGTGGAGGACCTGAAGACCGAGGACTTCATCCAGAGTGCGGAGATCAGCGGCGACCTGAAGATCGACTCCAGCACAGTGGAGCGGATCGATGGCAGTCAGACCCCCAATTCCGCCATTATTCAGTTTGCAGTCGGGGAGCACAGGGCACAGGTGAGATAATGTAGCAATAGAAATGCATAAAAATAAAGTTATGGTAAAGTGCACTTAAAATATTCTTTTAATATTAAGATTTCTCTCTTTCAGGAACAAACATAGTGTTGTAATTTTATTATTATTTCTGTTATATTCTGTTAAAATTGTTTCTGCTGGTTGCATGCCTGGTTTTGAATTGATCGGCTTGTGGTTTCAAATATTAACTGTACCAGTAGCTTTATTAGTGCACAGCACTGATCAGTTCAGACCAGATCTATTTTTTTTCTGGGATTTCTGCTGGAAATTTATTGATCACGTATTTATCTTTCAAGCCCCAGTCGCTGAATACGCGCTGAGGGAACATTTCCCCATAAGTCTCCTGCTGTGCAGTGATGTTGTTTTCTGGAGACACACACCCATCCTAGTCCTGCGGTTTAGCAGACATGTCCAGGCGGACACACTCTCATGCGGGGCCATTATTGAAGGACATAGAGGAGCCATTGTTCAGGCTTCCCTTACTCACCACAGGCAGAATTCTTTCACGTTATACACCCCATGTTGGAACGTTTTACTCCATTTAGTCCGACATTATAATAGCTGGATATTAGGATGTTACATATAAAAGACTCGACAAATGGACACGTACAACACTGAGACTGTTTGGAAACCGGCTTCAGCTTGTTTTTCAAGAATCACTTTTGAAAGAGCGATCTACTTGCCTGGATCAACTGTCTGGTCTCTGATGTTGGCCAGTTTTAGCATACTTGTTTCTTCTGTGCTTTCTGACTGATCACATCGCTTAAGGAGCACCAGAAAATCCCACTCGAATTTTGGTCTGTATACGTGTCGTCACTTTGCTCTCATGACCTTCTTCCGTCTCTCCCTGCCAGGTGAGTGTGGAGGTTCTGGTGGAATATCCCTTCTTCGTGTTCGGCCAGGGCTGGTCGTCCTGCTGCCCGGACAGAACCACCCAGCTGTTTGAGCTGTCATGCGCTAAGCTGTCTGTGGGTGACGTCTGCATCTCCCTCACCCTCAAGAGCTTGAAGAACGGCTCTCTGCGGAGAAGTCAGACTCTGGACTCAGCAGACAGCAATGGTGACTCCCTGACCAAGCCTCATAAGGTGGACCCAGGGTGCCGGAGCAGGGGGAGTCACTCCGGGGAGCGGGACAACGGGCCGAGGCAGTGGCCCAGGAGTACTGTCGGGACGGTGGAACCCACTTGCACCCAGGCTGTCTTGGAAAACGGGGAACTGGCATGTGAAGAGAAGAAAAGCTTGTCGGCGCAGACACCCTTGGCGGATCCAGGTGGAGCTGACAGACCTACGAGCAGGAAGCGGAGGTGGTCTGCCCCAGAGGGCCGCCAGGTGGAGAAGTCAGACGAGGAACCCCCGTTGACTTTGCCCAAGCCCTCTTTTATTCCTCAGGAGGTCAAAATTTGCATCGAAGGCCGGTCAATTATAGGGAAATGAATGCTGAGAGAACTTTAACTAATAGAGAGAGTTGAAAAACACACTCAGCTTTTATTTGGTATTTCGTTTTGTTTTCAAACCAGATAACTGTACTGTAGGCTATGTGTCCGTTAGTATTTTTGTTATCAAATTACTTTTCTTTCGTTTAGGACTTTGGGGTTCTTTGCACTTGGTATTACATGGCGAATCAATGCTGTTGTATTTGTTAGGTAGATAAGAGGGTCAACCATACCTGTTTGTGACTTTAATTTCCTCTTAAGATCCACCTTACTGCTCATTTCTCCTCAAAGCAGAAGAACACGCTGCATTTCGTGTTATCCTAGGCAGAGGAAGAGATAAGACTTAATCATGACAGTGGCCACATTCGGCGTTTCACCAAAACACACTAGAAGAGATGGACCCTTTGAGAACCCTTGAACCAGGTGCAGCAATGTGGTGCAACACTACCGGCAGGTCTTAGGTTATGCCTCTTAGTTTAGAGCATCAACAATGTACCGATTGTACGGGTTGGCAAGGGCAGATGCCCCCCCCACCCACTGTTTGTTTCCATGGCAACAAGGCCATAAGTGGCAGTTTACATGATGTCAGCTACCCCGTTCCATGTACTAACTCAGTTTGCATTGTGTGAACTTGTGCACTTTCATATGTTCTGTAGCTATTTATGGGGCCTGCTCTCACTTCACGTGTAAGAAAAGATAACTGACAACTTGCACGCTGCTCCTGCTTCAGGCTTTGGTCAAAGTTGAGCATACACATCAGTCCTAGAGCCTGTCATGTTTTGCCGCACATGGGTTATCCAGAACGATGGATATTTAAGGTCACTTTAAAGAAAAGCTGGTGCAGATACGAATAGCTTTTAAAGGGATGTACTCATACTAGGTTGAGCATGGAAGCCTCTGTGGATTACTTTGATTTAGTGTAGCGTGGAGCCGTCTTGGCTCTTTTATATGGGAATGTGGTTTGGGTTTTCTGCGAAATTTTTATTTAATCTGAAAGCCAATAGGATGAGCAGTACTGTCAGTAAATATTGTTTAGCATGTAAACTGGAGAATCAGTGTTCTCCCTTGGCTGTTGGTAAACGCGTGCTTCAGTCCGTAGAAGAGCTTGGTCTTGATAACCTGGGATGACAGTATAATACTCGCTCTTTTCGCCTGGAACCTCAGTAGTTGCCAAGGGGAGTGAGAGGGTTCTGTTGAACGATCAGGCAGTAGTGCGTCTCTGCAAGCCTTTGCTCCAGGCCGTCTCAGTGGATACTCGGGGCTCTGCTACGATGGCAGCGCCGTGGCTTGTAAGCGTGGCCACAACATTAGGGATGCAGCATCCAGCTCGTTCATCTTCACAGTTGGGTGCGTCTCACCTTCCTCACATGTCATGTTGGTCAGTAGCCAAAGGCACCACCTACACATGGGTTTTTATTGACATTTTATAGTTATTAACACACAAGAGAGTTCTATATCTTCCATAGTTAATTGAACGCAGGATAAAATGCTAAATAGATATTGCCCATGTTGCCCTTTGTAGAAGTTTTTTCTTATTATTAATCTTTGAGCTTTCCTAGGGGAGCCCTCGTCAAAGGTAGGGGCACCCAACTCAGGTTTTATCCCAGCTAGAATGCATTAGGTGCCAGTGGTGAGGAGGTCCAGACTGGATCAAGTTGTGTTGGGTCTGCTGAGCTCCTCAACCTCTCATTGCCCTATGTTTCCCAATTCGGTCTTTGGGGACCCACAGCCAGTCCATGTTTTTGCTCCTTGCCAGCTCCTAGACCAAAAATGTGGACTGTCTGACAGGGAACTTGGAGGGAGAAAAAACGTGGACTGACTGTGGGTCCCCAAGAACTGGATTGGGAAACACTGCTTTAGAGCAGGGGTTGTCAATCTTATCCGCAAAGGGCCGGTGTATGTGCAGGTTTTTGGGATAACCTTTAGGTCAGCTGTTCAAACCCAGGTGTGAGGACTCTTCAGCTAATCAGTCCTCTAATTAGTAGTCTAAATAGGGAGTGGCAGCGAAAACCCGCATTCACAGCGGCCCTTTGAGGCTAAGATTGCCCTCCCCTGCTCTAGAGTGATGTGTACTGTCAGCTGGGTGGAAACGAGAGAAGCCTGCTGTCCTCAGAAGCCTGGCATGATGCTCCAGGAGGCATGCTGATCGTTCTATGAGAAGAGGCAGGTGGCTGACTAAACAGGCACAGGAGGAGGTGTGTGCATGTAGGGGTGACCTGTGATGGGATTATTTAGCCGATCCAGATGGAGTGAAAATTGCATAACTTGGGTTTATGGGAACTAATCCTTATTTTTGTCCTTGTTTGTTAATTGCCAGAAGCTGATTAATGGACAACACCTTTCAGTAACAGAAGTTGTGAAATTAATCTCATGTGACAGCTGCAAGCTCAGGTAGATTTTTTTCATGTAATCAATTGCATAAATAATTACACAACTACACTATACTCACTGCTCAAATGGAATATCTCCATACGTGAACATGATGGAAGCTCTTTGACTGACACTGCTGTCTCGACAGCAGTTGGGTGATTTCACTGAGCCTTATCGGTCATCTGGGTTTTTGCCTTGTTTAACATTAGCAATACACTTATTAATTTCAGTTTTGCTTTTTCTGCAACTGGAAAACTGGAAAGCATGCTGCTTTCTGTTTGAAACTAATAGTTGACTTTTTGATAAGTAGCCATAGTGAAAGATGACACTCTGGTCTAGAAAGAATCTGGAAAGACCTGATGCCACTGTGACACCACATGAGCAATCGGGACATTTGTTGGGGAGTAGGTCAGATTTAATGACATGACTGCATAAAAGATAATTCTAATCCTTTTTATGATTTTCTTGTGCCCTACGATGGGTTGGCGCCCCATCCTGTGTTGTTCCCTGCCTTGTGCCCGTAGCCTCCGTAGCCCGTAGGCTGTAGGATGAGCGGTTTCAGAAATTGGATGGATGTATGGATTTTCTTCTTTTTGCAGTAACACATAACATACTGGACAAGGTTTGTCATTGCAGCTAAGATGATGAGGCAGAAAAGCCCCCTTTTTTTTGACATGAGCTGTTGCCAGAATGTGTAAAACATGGAAGCGTCACAAAATATGGTTGGTTGTTCAAGGGGAAAAAAAAGGTTGTTTTGTATAGAAGCTAACTGACTGCTTGGTGGAGAATCACTTCTCCAAAGAGATTGGAGATTTCGAGGACATAAGAAAAGATCTCAGAGCTGTATGAGCACTGCCATCAGTTTTTGTTGACCATAAAAGTGAATCAGTAGACATTGTACCTCAGGTCTGGAGATCATGGATGTGAAATATGGTTTTGAGTTTGTTGAGTATACAAAAAGACGTGTTTGAGAATTTTCCTCTTAGGGCATCGAAGGGTTTGAGTTTAGTAAGGAACCTGACATCTTCATACGGATTTATGTATGTATGTTTAGGCATTAACATAAAATATGACTTATGCATACATATATTTGTATGTATCTATATACAGAGACACACACAAACACAGACACAACTAAATTCCACATACTGGAACATCCTGCTTGTGTGTTGTGACTGAAGGCCAGAGTGTGATATCAGTGTTCTATAGCATGTGGCGTGTGTGTGTGTGTGTGTGTGTGTGTGTGTTTGTAAATACACAAAGACCCTCACATACAATGTATATAATGAAAATATGTAGTGTTTTCTGTTTCACGTTTAAGTACAATTTTGCGATTTGCACATATGGAGAGTCTGTAACATCGGCATTACTTTCTCATTTCGGGAGTATATGTGGGAAGCCAAAATATATTCACAGAAATGTAGCACCTTACCGACACTCAATAATCCTCCTTAACCTCCTGGCCTTCCGCATGGTCCAGCTCTCCTCTTGGTGTCCTCGCAGGCACTTTTCCTTCTGTCGGACTTGTGCTGTATTTGTGCGAGACGGGGGTGGTGCGAGGCAGGAACGGAACCCCATTTTGGGTCTTTTCTCAGCAGTAGGTGTACCTCCAGTGCCCTCGCGTCAGCCTAGAGTGTGGGGCTTGTTGGGGATTTAGCACCGATTTTAAATAATTTATTTTTTTAATGAAATATGTTTTTGCATTTCCATGCCACGCTGGTGTGTTCATTTTCATACTTTTTGATGTTGCCCTTCAGAGGTTGCTGTTGGGGTGTGGGGGTGATGTACAGTGAAAGTGAAATCCCTTCTTGAGTTCTGGGGCAGGTATAGTAGTACTTATTAATGTGTTTTATTTGTTGACATTTGAAAAGCACAGTTGGGTTTTCAGTCTCAGAAAGAGTGATTTCAGGTTATGCAAGTTCAGGTTATGCTAGTCCTCAGCAGTGGTACCTAACTAATGCTGTACTTTTTGATCAGACACACCAGACTGCATTCCTCAACATAACAATACAGTAATTCAGAAAAAAATGACCTTGCTTACTGAAAGCACCACAATGCTAACGGCCCCATTACTTTTGTTTATTCTCTTTTGTTTGTTTTGTTTCTTTTCACGTGTGGTTACGGTGTGCCTTCATTAACTTCCGGGAAGTCGAAGACATTCACACACAAATATGCAGTGACGTTGTATCAGGATAGAATTTGCAGGGGGGCAAGCGGGCCCCAGCGCTAATGTTATCACACAAGTGTCATGATATCTCACAATATTTCAGCGCTCAGTTCCGCTAACATACGCGAGGCTAGTGTGATTCATGTCACCCTGTTCAGCACCTCAGTGACCTGCTCTTTCAGAGCTTGCATTGACTGGATTGAAGCCACCACCCCGCCCCCAGCTCAGTGTGAGCCAACCGGAATGCCTCTTAGCATTTAACATAACACACATATTGTACTGTGCACATGTTCAGCCAAAGCATTTGGACCTGAAGCGATAATCCATGCGGAATTGCATTGTTTGATTTCTAACACAGTTCAGAAATGCACGCACAAGAAAATGTGGTGCACTCAGACTTTCAGACACATAGTACTCTTTTCATTTCCATACTCAGGGTACCTGTATATTTCATGTGGTTTTGGGTGTGATCAGGATTGGTCTCCAATGTGGATATCTCTGGTGGGTGGTCGGAGGGCTTACTTGGTCTCTAATGTGGATATCTCTGGTGGGTGGTCGGA